TTAACTTTGTAAAAATTGAATCAACAATTAATAAAGATCACAATTTGAGATGTGCCTCACAAAAAAAAAAAAAAAAATAAAGTTATTAAATTTATAGTTTATTTTAATATAACTTTTATATATAATTTTATTTTAATATTACTTACTGTATTATTTTAAAATTTAAAAAAAAAATTTTTTTTAAAAACTGAAATTAATTTACTTTTTTCAAATAATTATTACTCTTCAATTATCCAATTAGATTTTATTAAAACAATAAAGTAAAAATTAAATCTATTCAAATCAGTTTTTCAACACAATAATAATAATAATAACTATTATAATAATAAATATTATTAATTATACTTTATTATTCATTTTAACAAAAATTATATTTCTAAAATTAGTACTGATACAAGAATTTGACAATTGACTTTATTTTAGATATTTTTTTTGTTTATATAAATTTTATAGTTTAAATAACTTAGTTTTAATTTCAGTAGTTCATATTATTATAGCTCTAGTTTATTTTTCTTTTTAATTTTTTTTAATTTTTTTTTTCTTTACATCCAATTAAAAATTCTAAATAAATAGGTATAGTCACTATTTAGTTATATTTAGTATATATAATATTATTTTAAAATTGGTTTTGCTATTAACTAGATATAGATATATAAACAAGTTGATATTTAGCTTGTTATATATTTTGTATTCAAAAGAAATTGTTTTTTATTATTATTTCAAATTAGATTACATACTTATTATGTTTATTAATTCTATATTGAAAATGTTTATACATTGTATTTAGAAATATTATAATAAGATTAAACTTATTAATATTATACAATATATTTATTATAAGTCTAAAGTCTTTAGATGTAATTATAGAGAATAAAAAAAATTGTTCAATTTTATTCTGAAACTTTTTATTAATTTAAAATATTACAGTTAATTTTTATTTAAGATTGTTATCTTTATATAATTATTGTAATATTATAAAGGTAAAAATTTTTATTTTTTTTAAAAAAAAATAAAGTAATAAAAAAAGTTTGTACTAATAAAACAAAAACTTTTTTTAAATAATATCTAATCTAACTATATGCAACTGAATACTCTTTCAATTTCTATTATTCTAATTATTGATTAAGAATATTTAAAGGTACTTCCAAAAGAGTATTTCTTGAAACTTTATACTCAAAAACTTTTAATCTTTAAAGAGTATTAATATATTGTTTGATAATTTCTTTTTCTACTAATTCTCCAAAGAATTATAGCTTTATTCAATCAATAAATAGTTTCAAACCTTCTTTTTTAATTATTTTTAAGATAATCAACAATAGAATTGACTTATTATTAAATTAAAATAAAATCTTTTTTTGATATTAAGAAATGAAATTAGTTCAAGAGAAAAAAAAAAAATATCAAATTACTTTTTTTTATCAAAAAGTATATCTTATTATCTTGTTCTTTTTTTTATAATCAATTATATCATCAAATAAAAATTGCATAAGATAAAATATATAGAATTTACATGTCTTATTTATATTTCTTGTTATATATAGATTAATCAATTCAAATTTTAAACCAATCATAATTTAGGAATTTTAATATAATCAAAAATTTAAAATCAAATTGAAGTAGGCAAAATTTTTTAAAAAAATTAGAAAAAAAGTTTATATGCTTAAAAAAACAGGTAGAAGGCTTGAAACAAATAAAAGAAAATTTCAAAAATCTACAATTCTCTTTTTTAAAGTCTTAAATCTTTGAAGAAAAAAAGAAAAGTATTGTTTTTACAAGTTTTTTTTTCTAGTAAAGTGTTTTTGCCTTTGACTTTGTAGATAAATTTTTTTATATTTACTTATAGAAATATTAAAAATTTATTTTAAAGAAAAAAAAAAACAAATAGAAAAAGACTGAAGTTTCTAAATAGTAATATTATTAAAGAAAATATATAGACTTTATTATAAAAAAATATAAAATTATTTTGGAATATTTGTTTTTTGGGTTAGCAAAAGAATCAGTAGAAAGAGTTATATTCAAGAAATATTGTTTCTTTTACAATATATATAACTTTATAAGTATAATACTGTAAATAAAGAAATAATGTTTATCTATTGAAAATATATACAGTATATATATTGAATCTTTTATTTAAAAATAAAAATAAAAAAAAGATAACTTTATTTATTATCAAAATTATACTTAAAAAAAATATTCAAGTATAAAAGTAATTTATAAATAATTATATTTTTGATTTTAAAATTAAATAAATACAACAAATACTTGTCTAATTATAAGAATTTATTTTTTAGTACCATATTGTATAAGTTAATTTTTTTAAAAAAAATAATTTAAACTAAATTTTAAAATTTCAATAAAAATAAATCAAAAATAATAAAACTTAATATTATTATACTTTGGATTTTTTTTGGCAGGCGAGTATACGTTTATGCAGGAATTTGTGTTATATGCACTGGGGCAATAATTCAGGGGTCCTATCCACTTTTAGAAAGAGTTGCCCATATATGGTTATGCCATTTTGGAGTTCGGTCCAAACCTGAAGTGCAAAGCATACTCTATAAGCTTTTTAGAGTTTTCGTGATCCGAATTTCAACTAAAAAAGAAAAAACAATACAAATTTTGTGTTCTACAGACTTGTACACGTGTGCACAGCTCTTAACCTGTAGCAAAAGCGTACGAAGGCGCTCGAGTGATGATAAGTTTATCCATTGGATTCATAAATTTATATTATCTGCATTCGAATCTAAATCGTATGATCGTATGACAAAAGGGAAAGGTTCATTAACAATGATCTAGAGAATATACGAAACTCCGATAACTCCGAATGAAATCAATGAATTTGAACGTCCATTGTGAATGCAAAAAACGTATAAAAATTAGCGAATTCTTTCAGTCAACATTAAAATCAAAATGATGGACCGTTGTTGTTTCTGCATAAACCTGAAAGCTGGAGTCATCATCATATCTATAATTGGACTTGTATGTATGCCTTATTATTGCTTCTCTAAAGAGAAACTAAATAATAAAACTAAAAATTTCTGTTTCAATGCAAGGCTTACGGGATATTGGAGGCCATTCTTAATATCATTATTTATAAAAATAGCGATCGTTATTGTAAGCTTTTTATATTCTATTGAAATTCTTAATTCTTTCTCATTCTATATTAACTCTCGACATACTTATTCGCCACTTAATAGATAATGTCTATAGAGCATATTGCCTATTCGGAGCTATTTTGTTTGTTTCAATAGCGTTGGATTCTGCATTTGGCATCTTTGCTTTATGTTTTGCTGTATGTACTATTATAATTCGTTTTATTTCCTTATCCATGGAATTTGTTAACTCATTCTTAATTTTTAGAATGCTGCAAAAATTCTAAGGGTGTATTCAAGGACATTTTATGTCCTAATGGTTCTATATATTTGCTATGAGCTTGCTAGTCTTGGTATTTACGTTGGTTACAAAAATGAAATCATAGATGCGTGCAATATCAATAAAGAAAAAGATGATAAAACAAATTGCAATGAGGATTATAAAACTCAATTAATAATTAGTATTGTTGTCCTCATTATTACTGTTATTTTATCGGTTTGTGATTTGTATTTTTTCTTTGCGATTACGTTTAAAAAGATATTTTCATTAAACAGAAATTTTTCTTCCTTAACAGGTTTATTTTGCAACTGTAGTGGATTCATATGCTTTAAAACGTGAATCCAAAGAAAGGAATGCAGAAAATGCTAATTAGATTCTCGAAGCCGGTTTTTTACTTAATTTGTATTATTGCAACTTTATTGTATAAAATCCCATCTGTCAACAATATTATATTTTTTTAAATATAATCTTGAAATATCGTAAATATTTATTACTTTTTTTTTTAAAAAAAAACCATTAATTCAAATTATATTTTTAAAAAATAAAAAAATAAAAAAAATAGCAAAATACTTTATCATTCTTATTTTTTTTTAATTATATTATTTTTTAAAAAATTAATTTTTTTTCAATGTTAAAGCGAGGTCTTACTCACATCTTTATTAATAGAGTAATAGTTTAACTTGTTATATGATTAATATTAAGATATGAATTATATTGCTATATATATTAGCCTACTACTTTTTAACAGATATATTATTTGAAAAATCTTGAAACAAAAAAAACTTGAGAAACTATCTGTTATGAAAAATAAAAAAATAAAAAAACATTTGGACAAGATTATTGTTTATAAAAGATTTTGATAGTAATGTATAATTAGTTATTTTTTTGAAGGGGTTTTCCCATAAGTAAACATTATTTCTTTATTTAATTTATATATAACAAGGTATATATTGTGAAAGAAACAATATTTCTTACATACATAAAGTAGCAAGTTAAATGCTAACTTGCCTACATATACATATCTAGCTAATATTGAAAAAGAAATTCAAAACAATATTATATACTAGCCATGTCTGAATAGTGGCTATGCTTACCTACTCAGTAAATTTTGTAAAGTCTTTTTGTTTTTTGAATATAAAGTAATTGAAAAAATAAAAAAATATTAACATTACTAAAACTAAAACTAAATTAAATAAACTATAAAATTTATAAGTAGAAAACTAATTATTTTTTCAAGAGAATCTCTGGACAGGCTTATGATTCCATTTTTCTGGCTCTTTGGTTATTATAGATAATAAAGTATATATGATGTTGTTTATTATTGTAGTAGTAGTAGTTATTATTATTATTGTATTGGTATATTTGATAATTGGTATAATGGTTGATTTGATTATTAGTAGTGTGATTTTTTTAAACATTACTAAAACTAAAACTAAGTCAAATACATTGTAAAATCTATAAATAAAAAATCAATTATTTCTCCAAAAAAATTTCCAGATAAGCTCATGGTTCCATCTCTCCAGCTCTTTGATTACTATAGATAATAAAATATATGTAATATTGTTTTTTATTATAATAATTATTATTGTTGTGTTGATATATTTAGTAGTTGATATGATGATTGGTTTAATTGTTGGTAGTGTAATTTTGTTTTGATTGTTATTACTAAAAGTGATTTTGTTTATGTTGATTATTGTATAGTGTACTAGTAGTATGAGTTTGTTTTGAATTTTGATAATATTTAATTAATTGAATTTGAAATGATAATCAATTGACAGAAGTAAGCTAATTGCGATTTTTTGGTGAGAAATTTTTGAGTAAGAATTTTTGATTTTTAGTAGTGCAGCAATATGTGCTAAACAATATTGAAAAGTAAATATTATAAATATTACTGGTATCCCAAACTAATAATATAGACAATTTTGAAGTAAAGTTTAATTTTTTGCACAAAAGAAAAGCCATTTAAGCAAAAAAATTATTTATTTAATAAGAAGTATACAGTATATTAATAAGAAGTGAAAATGGAAAGACACTAAAGAAAATTTATAAAGAAGCAACTGTTACAGGTCTTCTCTTATATAATCCAAGAAAAAAAACAAGCTCTCCAAACTTGTTTTTCCTTGATCAAAAGTTATATCCTGATATATCAATATGCTTCTTTAATTTCCTTGAGGTTTTTATAGTGAAGATAAAAAAGATATAAAGGACTTTTGAATATTAAAAGACAAAAAAAATATTTATTTCTTTAATTTTGAAAAAAATTACTATAAAAGAAAAATTTTAAGAAAAATGTTATATACAGAAAAGAATTTTTTTTAATTGTATAGTTGGTTATTATTATAATAATAAGATTATTATATATAGTTTCTGGATATGTTTATATGGTTCAATCAAATAACAGAATCATATAAGTTACATATAATTGATAATATTGTTGTAAGTAAAGTTCTGAACTAAATAATGAAATAGTATCAATTTGATATCAACTTATAATAAATTTAATATATGGATTTTAATTTACTATATTAAACTTATAGTAAATTCAATATTGACTTTATATCAAAATAATATTATTAAAAACTCTAGTTATAAATGGTATAGTAATTTTGATTAATAAATATTGTTTTGAATTTGTGAAAAATAAGAAATATTTTGTATTGTTATAATAATAACTTGATTTGTTGTTAAAAATATCAAAACTTATACAGAATATTACTATATACTTTTCTAATCTAATAAGTTATTGTGTTGTTTTGATATATTTAAATAATATAGAATATGATTGATATTTTATATATTGTAGATCTTTTGATAAGAGTAAACTAGTTTCAGTTTTTGTAAATATAAAAGTAATGAGAACTAAAAACTAGTCAGAAAATTGTAATATCAACTTGATATTAATTGTTATTAGCAAAAAATAAAAAAATAAAATACTATCTTTTAAAAATTATATTGTTTTTGATTTAAAAATAAGAATTATAATTATTTTGTATTATTTATATAAGAAAATAGTTTTTGTTTAAAGAATTTTTATTTATTTATTTTTTTTGTTTCAAATTATTACTTAATATAGTTGCTAATTACTAAATCTCTTAAAACAAGCCATTGCTAAAATTCTAAAAACCAATTTGAATTTTAAAACTTTAACTACTCTAAATTAGTCTTTCAATTTATATCTTCTTTCCAAAAAACATATTTTATTAAACAAAGTTTCAGAAAAAAAAAACTTTTTAAAAAAATAATTATATATAAATTAATAATATAAATAATATAAATAAATAATATAAATAATATAAATAAGTTTATATAAAAGAACTTAATAACTGAAATATAATATTTCAAATAATATTTTTTTAAAACTTTTGAAACTTGAATTATTTAAAATTATTTATATTTATATAATATTTAAAATAAAACATATAATATATAATTAAAAAAACTCTTTCCGCAAATCACAAAAAATTTTAAAAATTTCCTTTTTTGGCAACTCAAGAAAAACCAAAGGAAAT